CACACAGCGCACAGTCAACTTGTGAAACTCCTTACCTGAGAAGATTGTGAAGGCTAGGACTATAACAGAGTTTAAAAGAGAACTGGATAAATTCATGGTGGTTAAGTCCATTAATGGCTATTAGCCAGGATGGGTAAGGAATGGTGTCCCTAGCCTCTGTCTGTCAGAGGGTGGAGATGAATGGCAGGAGAGAGATCACTTGATCATTGCCTGTTAGGTTCACTCCCTCTGGGGCACCTGGCATTGGCCACTGTCGGCAGACAGGATACTGGGCTAGATGGACCTTTGGTCTGACCCAGTACGGCCTTTCTTATGTTCTTATGTTTCGTTTCAATTCCATGCCCAGTTTGGGCTTTTTTTCAATAAATGTGAAGAAAATTTCAAACTGAAAAGACCAAATGTTTCAACATTTTTGGAATTTTTGTTGTTGTTTTTTGACTCAAACAACTGGGCAAAACTGACACGGATTCATGAAATGTTCCGGTGTCACTGATTTTGCATGTTTTGGCCGACAGATGCGGGTGGAAATGGGAATTAATAATATTGTTAGCGAGAAAGCAGAGTGGCGCTGGGATCTGGAAGAAGCTCTGAGCTTTTATGGATGCGTAGGGTGCTGGCTTGTCCCCAGCCCACAAAGGACCCCTTGCCACACCCAGAGTCTCTTTTCCAGGCAGTTTTATTTCTCAAATATAGGCAAAAACCCCACAAACACAACTCCTCCGCCCAGCCTGACTCTCAGCCTGACTCACCTTCTCTAATAGCCCAGCTGGGGATCAGCTGACTAGCCACAGCTGCCCTGGCCTTTTCCCTCTTAAAAGGCCAGTGCTGTGACAAGGAGCAAGAGACTATAACTTCTGTCGGGCCTTCATGCAGGCTTAGGGACCAAGCAGACTCCTGTTAGCCTGTATAAGGAGGAGCTAGACAGAGTGAGTCACATGGTAATAAAATGAATGAGTTCCCTTCATTTGAACCCTTCGCTTCCCTGATCCAGGGAACAGACTCCCCTTACCTCGGCTTATTTGTGTTTTAGGTGCCTGTCAAAGTTCTTGCAAGATTTCTAGCCAGTGTGGGAAACTGGACAGTGGTTCCTGCAACCCAGACAGCTGCCCCTACTGCATCAAGACTCTGGCTCGTGACCTGGAGCTCACGGACAATGAGACGGCGGACTCGGACAGCGAGGGGGTGTATGAATTCACCCAGGACGCCCACTACAGCGACCAGAGGGACCCTCAGCGAGGGAAAACCAGGGGCAGGAAAACCAGCCAAATCCTGGCTTTCTGGAAAGTGGTTTGTGAGACGTTCCAGAAGATCGTGGACAGCAAGTACTTTGGCCGGGGGATCATGATTGCCATTCTGATCAACACCCTCAGCATGGGGATTGAGTACCACGAGCAGGTGAGCGGGGCCCATTCTGTGTTGTACAGAGGCTAGCTAGACACTCCCTGGAGGGAAAGGGCTCAGCATGGAGACTTCATTAGCACAGTCTTCTCCTGCTCTCATAGCCTTGCGGAAGGGATTTTTTTTTTTACCATGAGCCGCGTGATTAGCCTTGACCCCTGCTTAGTTGCTTGCCAGGCCTGGCTATGTTTTTACCAATTGCTGTTCAATGGTGCTTCCTTTTTGCGTTAGTGAGTGTTGGAGTCCTGGTTTGGTGAGGGGCATAGGGAGCCTTTTGCCTCTGTGTTGCTGGTTTTGAATTCAGCCCAGGCTGGTGGACATAAAAGCTGCCCCATGTGATAGCTGTTTGGGGGCCTACATGAAATGAAGCTGATGGGAATTAGGCCATGTCCCAGTGAGCAGGTGTCCTCATTGAAAAAAACCCAAACCAATCCCCAAACCAGCACCCAATAATGCTCTTGTTGGCTGTTTCAGTAAAGGCTGTGTATTTCATGGGCCACGGAGGCTGAACTACCTCCTATCCTTAGTGGTGGCTTCTCCCGGTCAGACCCATTGGCAGGACAGTATGGCAAATCTCAGTCTGCTTCTGCTGTAACTGGACTGTGCCTGCAGAGAGAACTCGGGGGCCTGTCGATCTGGCACCATTCATCTGTGCTTATCACGTTAGGTCTGGTACGCATATTGTCCCAATCTAATGCTTACTCCTAAACCTCTGCACTGATCAGGCCTGGTAGCGCTCCATTCCCATGGTGAATCTCTGCTTTGTGGGTAACTTCCACACAGGCATTGTAGCCCTGCGAGTCAGTGGCAGCTCCTCCTTCCGAAAACCTCCCTAGGACATTCAGAACCGCTTGGATGGAAAGGGCAAGAGGCTTGTGACCTGACTCTCATTTACAGTCAATATAAAGGGGCCTTACTGAAAGTGAACAACAGGCCCTTGGATTTGGGGATTTTAGTTCTCTTGCAGCATGCTCCACTTCCTTTTTTTAGATCATGACTTGGGCTCTTCCTCAGACCAATAGTGATGGAGGATCCGTACTACAGTATCTCACAGCAGTTTGGTGGCCTCAACCAACCTTCCTGGTGGATACATCAAAAAAACCCAGGGATGAGTCCAAGCCATAAAGTTCCAGTGCAGACGTCCCCCAAAGTCTGGAGTGCTTGGATTTGGGGCTTTGGATCAGGCCCATCCCAACTAGTACCCCTTGCTGGCAATCTCAACCAAGAGGCCAAAGGCTGAGCTAACTGGAGGTGCTCCCACTGGCAGGGCCATGCGCTGATGCTTGCATTGCTTGTGCTGTTCCTGTCCAGGGAGCTAGCAGAGACCCTCAGTTTTAGTCCAGCATGGCAATCCCAGCAATGTTGCCCAGGGCCAACAGACTTTGGGGTTCACGCAGCAAGGGTCAGCACCACTGCAGGCATGAAAGAAGGTTTTATTCCCACTCCCCTAGAGAGGTCGGCTCATAACGAATGCTCCTGTCTTTCCAATGGATGCTGTGGCAACTATCCTGTGAATCCAAAGTAGACTAATTTTGGAATCTCTAACCCATTGTCTCATACACCCTAGTCCCTGAGGGCAAGAGGCTTCTGTCCGTGATACACATATCTAATCCCCATAGCTAGTCTTTAAGAGGAGAAGATGCTGCCATGTTCTTCTCCTCTGGTACACTGAGGTCCCAGCTTTCAAAGGGATCTTCACTCAATCTCTGGTTTTTCAACCCAAGTGATGTAGCTGCAAACAATGTAATGCCTAGTTTGGTGGGTGCATTTTATGTCACGTAGACATCTAAGCACCTGACATCACCTCTTCTGAAAATTGGGCCCTGATTGTATTACCCAGGGGCATGTGCACACAGGCCGGGCCATTGGGTTATTGTGGGTGAGTTCTTTGGTGACTTTTGGTATAAGAGCTTAGCTGGCTCTGTGTGTATGCCTGGTAAAACCCTTGTTACCGCAGGTCTCTCATTAGACAAGTTGCTGGAGGAATATACGGTAGCCAACAGTCCTCCACTGATACAGGACTGAGAGATGTGTTCTGATAGCGAGGCCCTTTCCATTTATTCCTCTAACCAGTGATGCACAGGAAGTTTCCAGGACATCAGAACTGGGTAGAACAATTCCTGTCCTATAGCCAGTGTTTTCTGGGAACTCCCCTGCACTTTGAGCCTTTATTGTTTACTTTTCTCTTTTTCTGACATATTTCTTATTTGTATAGTCACTTGCAGTTGGATGCAAAGGCATTTCTTCCACTGTTTATAGCTCCCCGTGTCAGCACGGTAGTTGGGAACTGAGCAGACATAATTCCAGATTCCAGTGTCCTCCTGTGGTATTAACGCATCAGTGACTAAACATTAGGAAGACTCAGACCCACTCAGTGTACTAAATGTGTCCCTTCAAACCAGCACATTCTTTCTGAAGTCTTAATACAATATGGCTGGCTAAGCTTTGTTTTCAGTATGCATTAAATGGAGATGCACTCTGCAGTCCTACAGGTAGGATTAGTCTCATGCTGTTTCACCTTCAATTGGTGACCTACTGGAATATTTCTGTACCGCTGGGAGAGAAAGTGTCTGATGGTGTTGGAAATTCGTCATTCTTTTATTAATATCTGGGGATTGTTTCTTAAAAGCCTGAGGGGAAAAATAAAGAAGAAGATGGAAAGTTCCTATTTCCCATTTTGATAGATGAACATAAGAATGGCCAATGGTCCATCTATCCCAGTATCTTGTCTTCTGACAGTGGCCAATGCCAGGTGCTTCAGAGGGAATGGACAACAAGTAATCATCAAGTGATCCATTCCCTGTTGCCCATTTCCAGCTTCGGGCAAACGGAGGCTAGGGACACCATCCCTGCCCATCCTCTAATAGGCATTGATGGACCTATCCTCCATGAACTTATCTAGTTGTTTTTTGAACCCCATTATAGTCTTGGCTTCACAACATCCTCTGGCAAAGAGTTCTACAGCTTGACTATGCGTTGTGTGAAGAAATACTTCCTTTTGTTTGTTTCAAACCTGCTGCCTATTAATTTCATTTGGTGACCCCTAGTTCTTGTGTTATGAGAAGGAATAAATAACACTTCCTTATTTACTTTCTCTGCACCAGTCATGATTTTATAGACCTCTATCATATCCCCCCTTAGTCGTCTCTTTTCCAAGCTGAAAAATCCCAGTCTTATTAATCTCTCATATGGAAGCAGTTCCATACCTCTAATCATTTTTGTTGCCCTCTTTTGAACCTTTTGCAATTAAAGGTAAAGACAGAAATGTTGTCTATATATAAATCTATTATGTTGGTCTTATTCCACTGGAAACAGCTAAGGGCTGATTCACCAAGTTCGGTGCCCATGGTAAGTTGCACCTTTAAAATATGCCCATGCAAGTGCAGTTTTTGTGTGTGCAACGGAATGCCTGCACAAACTTGGCACCCTCCTCTGGAACGTTTCCCTCTCTAAAGCTCTTCCGGTACCTTGAATGCGCAGTTTTATTTTTAGTGCTGCTGGAGATGCTGCTTAATCCAAACAATAGATCCCTGGTCCTGAGGAAAGGAAGAGCCCAGGAAAGCTACTTCTGCTATCGCAGCACATGAGAAGCTCCTGTAGACTCATCCTCACTGAAACTATGTTGGACCAAAAGCAGCATGGAAATGCCATGTACTCTGAGACCTCATTCAAGCAAGACCACCACCGCTCTTACACACGTTTAGAGGAAGTGCAAGCTTCATCCGGGGAGGGCTGCCAGTTTGTTCCTTCCCATATCTGCCCCCAGGAGGTCCCAGCCATTCATCCCTCCTTTCCTTTGTCCCATTAAAAACAGTTGACATTCCCAGCACCAGTGTTGTGACTCTGAGGAGCTACCACTTTCAAAGGACACCACAGGGGAGCGTGAACAGCCCTATGGGCTCTGAGACAAGGTTGAAAACACCATAGGCTGGTAGATGGGGCCTAAAGGATTATGAGGGGAAAGAGGTGGTAAATTATGGGTAATGAGATGAAGATGGTAGGTAAGGGAGGGACCCCAGGGGCTGTGAGTGGAAGATTCTTTAGATGGCTTTTTGAAACTACTTCTGTTCCCATTTCCTTTCTTCCAGGCACTTGGTATGAATAGTGAATCATGTTTTTATTAGTTCATCCGATTAAAGTGGTGGCAGAGAGCAAAGAGGTGTTTTTCTGTAAACTCAGGAGGCTTATACACTGCAGTTTCATAATCTGACAGTTATGAGACTGGGAATTAGGACAGAGAAATGCTGGCCCAGGTCTTTCTGCAGAGATTATAAACAGTGAAACATGTGATTTTTCTTTTACAAAGTGAGATTTACAGCCTTCGCCTGAAAGTGCAAGTGATCGACCTCACCAAATTTATCTTCATTGGCTGATTGTTTGAAAAGAAATGAGGGGGCTTTAAGAGTACTTGACTTTATGAGTTTCTATATTAAGCTCGCTTGCTTATTTAATGAATATTTATGGCCTGGGCTTTTCACACATCCAGTCCTGGGTGAGCCAGGCTATATTAGGCTAAATTCTCTCAGGACCTATTTTATGGTGCTGGGTCAAAAGAATGGCACTTAGAGGAGGGGGGAATGGACGCACTAATTACCAGGATTACGAGAGCGAGAGGATGGCCCAGGGGTTAGGGTACTGATTTGGGACTTGGAAGATCCTATTCTGCCTCAGAAATCCCAGGCGACCTTCAGCAAGTGAGTTACAAAGGATGCATTGACATTTGAGCTGGGCTGTGTGATTCCCAGCTTGCACAGACACACCCGTGCTAGCTGTGCCCACAGGTACGTACTCGGGCGGCTAACCCAACCCACCACCTGTGCTGCCGCGGGGATGTGGCTATTTTTAGGCACTAGCGCAAGCAGAGCTAGCATGGCTATGTCTATGGGAACTGGGAAACACACCTCAGATGTAGACCTACCCGTAGTCTTTCGGTGCTTCGCTTCCCCATTGGTAAAATGAGGCTATTCCAATACTGAGCTGCTTTAAAAATCTGTTTT